ATATATATATATATATATATATATAAAAGTAATAAAAATTAAGAAAAAAAAATTTTCACTTCTGAAGTTTGAATTAATTTTAATACGTTACTTGATAAAAATATAACTATAAAATATTAATTTTTAATTAAAATTTCTCAATTTAAATAAAAAATAAGATTTAAATATACATAATGCATTAAACCTATAATCAAGATAAAATTACATATTCAACTATGTATTTTTTGTATAATGACATGCAAAGAAGTCAATCGTGTTTTCTAGTCAACCAAAACAAACAATAGACTCCAATGTAATAGAGAATAGGATCTTTAATCGCATGCATATACCTGCCGAGATTATCGTCAGCAATAGGATTTTGAATGCTATAAATATCCCAAATGCATGTTACCTTTTTTTCATAGCCAATTTTATATAACATTTTATTTTCTGCAAAAAAAAGGAAAAGAAATGGCTATTGTAGTTGCAATGAAACATCTTATTGTTGTATGGGTTATCTTCTGGACATGTGCATACAGAGTCATGTCTCGAACCTTGTATGAGTCTTCTGTTGCCAAAGCACACGAGGAATGGATGTTCAAATACGAACGGTCCTATGCTGATGACGCAGAGAAGGATAAACGCTTCAAAATATTTATGGAGAATTTGGAATACATTGAGAAATTCAACAATGATGAAAACAAGAGGTACAAATTAGGACTGAATCAATTTTCTGATTTAACTGAGCAAGAGTTTATAGCTTCACATACTGGACTCAAGATTCCAAGTGGACTACATTCATCGTCAGTCACACTCTTGAACCTGACTGATATTCCAACAAGCTTGAACTGGAAAGATAAAGGAGCTGTCACCGATATTAAGGATCAACGAGATTGTGGTAAGTATTGACCTTTGGAGTTTTTTTTCTTCTTCTTCTAATTTGCTAGTATTTATAGATTTGATAAATTTATCTAAAGCGGATCTCTTTAACTTGTAACTTGTAGTGAGGTGGCAAGTTCACCAGCAAAAAGACTAAATTAACTAAAAATTTAGAAAAGGTGTTTCACTTGAAAAGTTAACGAAGCAGCTAAGTAACCCAAAAACATAATTTACTGTTTGCATTGCAGGAAGTTGTTGGGCCTTTTCAGCTGTGGCAGCTGTAGAAGGCATTTACCAAATCAAAACAAACAATTTGATCTCCTTGTCGGAGCAACAACTAGTGGACTGTGATAACAGTAATAATGGGTGTGATGGAGGATCCAAAGAAAGGGCCTTCAACTATATCAAAGAAAACGGGGGAATTGCTACCGAAAGCGACTACTCATACCAGGGAATTGCAGGAACTTGCGAGAGTGAAATGAAATTATCTGCTGTCAAAATAAATGGTTTTCAAAGAGTAGCCGCAAACAGTGAGGAGCAACTACTACAAGCTGTGGCCAACCAACCAGTGTCTATTTCTGTTGATGCCAATCGTAATTTTCATTCATACAAAGAAGGAATATTTGAAGGACCATGTGGAACCGTTCATAACCATGCAGTTACTATAATTGGTTATGGAACAAATAAAGAGGGCACCAAGTACTGGTTGGTTAAGAATTCATGGGGTGAGACTTGGGGAGAGAATGGTTACATGAAGTTGCTGAGGGATAGTGATCAACCTGAAGGTCTGCGTGGCCTAGCTATGCATGCTTCTTATCCAACTATTGATATGTAGTTTATAGAATTCGTTCCTTGTGCGCTGTTATAGTACCATTGTAGTAATTTATTTTAAGCATCTCGTCTTTGTCTCCAATCTAGAGTACCAACGTATCGTTTCTCATATTTACTATTTAGGTTTTGTCTCTCTATTTCGTCATGTACCGAGTTATTATTGAAAAATCTGAATATATAATTAATCAATGAATTATAGAATTTATATATTACGTTTCTCATGGATTTTTTTAACACCTTCATAGATTTTTTTGTCTTTAATTTTTCGTGTATATATATAGGCCAATCGTGATAATTTAAGGTGTATAATAGGCTTAAAGTCACCTTTAAAATAATGTTTTTAAAATTAATTAAAATAATTTATTTGTTAAATATTATAATCTCATTTGAATTTTACTTTTAGATATTAAATTTATAGTGTAACTCTTAAATATTTCAATAATAAAAAATAATATAAATTAACTATCCGTGTAATTACTCATCTAATCTCTTCATATACCAATTATCCAATTCACAATTCAATTGATAGAAATGTTCTAAAGAACATGATATACTTCTAAAAGGCACAAATTATACATACCAATTACATACTCATCTAATTTTCTCATACATTTATCAATGTATTCTTTCAGGGTTCTTATATAGGATCCCATTGGCAATCCAAAATTCAAAAATACAATCTAAAATATGAAATTAATTACACATGCATGTTAACAACATCAATTAACACATTGAATAATTATGGATAAGACTAAAACACTATATACATAATAATTGGAAAAATCTCCTTTATACAATACATGCAACAAATAAGAGATTGAGAGTCAATCTCATAGGAATGACAAAATGAATCCAGACCCTACGAACACCTGCAAAAAGACTTGCATGCGGGAGGGTAAATACCCGTTTATATGGGGATAAGTATAGGATAGATATAGACTCGCAAAATTTAGTGGATACAGGTGCGGGTTGGATATCATGGTACCTAACCCGCCCCACCCCTTAGTTATATATATATATATATATATATATATATATAT